CGGCAGATTGCCAGTCCCCCCGTGCTGATTGCTTTGCTCCTGCAGCAGCGCGGTGCTGTGCACAAGGGGAAGCACGTGCCCATGTGAACACTCTGCCTGCTGGCCGCCTTCTCCTCTGTGTTAGATGTAAAGATTTCACCGTGGAAACTGTTTTATAGAAATATAATGAATAAATGTGATTTGATTGTTTTTCTGACAGCTTTGTGTCGCTTCCAGATTCACACAAGTGCGGAGCTGATTGGGTGTAGTCCCACCACATACTGTATGTACTTATTCAGCTCCATAAATGATGTTGACCTCTTTAAATTTCACAATTATTTGTAAAGGATTTAGACTCCTCTGTAAAAAAAAATTTGGTTAGCTTAAACAAAACCTTAAGGTCATAAAAACATAGATGGAAGCAGGATTCATTCTATTTTATTTCCTAGAATGGAAGCAATTTCAGCTACATTAGAAGCTTAAAGAAATGTCTGTTAATAATTAAATTTTCGGTTGAAATATCTAGCAAACTTGCTTGGAATTGCATGAAAGGCTGTTTTGTTATGTAAATTGGTGCAGAAGTTCCATGGGGTGCCTAACCTTTGAAGTGCGAGCGCACCGCGGGGCTGCGGGAGCCTTGCGGAAGGGCCACGAGCACCGCGGAGCATCGCGGTGCTGCCGCCTGGGCCTGCGTTAGCGGCCGCGTGGCTCCTGCCTCCCCGCGCTGGCAGGTTTCCCACTGCCGTGTCATGGGTGCGGGAGAGGCTGCCCCGTGTGTATGGCATTAACAGGTTACCGTTTGCTTGTAACGGAGTCTCACTGAGCCGATAAAAGCCAATGTTTCCATCTAGACATTAATCGGGAAGAGTTGTTGCTGCAGTAGCAAAGTTAGCGAGGTCTTAACCGCTGCTTTGCAGGGATCAGACCTGTCATTCCAGAGTATTATTTTGCCTTCAAATCGTTACTTTTATTGCGGTTTTAATGCAAAAGAAGACTTTTTCATGTTTTCTTGTTATTTCTAAAAATGCTTTGACATAATTCCAAATACAAGGAAGTAGTTTTCCATCGTTGCAATAAGTTTCTGGGTATATTAAATTTTCATTGAACAGTTTTGCTTAAACTACCTGGTTGCAATTGACCAAGGAATATTTCTTTGCGTAATAAGCAGCTCCAGTTTCTGAAAAATAGTTTGCATGAATTGCAAATATCAGCAGTGCTTACTGAATGCATCGTGCTTCTGACCTTTCAATATGAAGCATGAATAAAAGGAAGAGCTGTCAGATCCATTTATCTTCAATCCCTCTCTCAGGCTTTGTGTTTTTCAGAATTATTGTGGTCACCATGTAAGGTGACCGTCAAAACAGTGGGAAAAGCAAGGTCCTAATTTTCCAAGAGTGACACGTTTGAATGGTTACCTAAATATTGATTTTAAAAAAAAGTTCCTTGCAATTAGCACAGTAGCAATAGCTGGAACGTATTTAGCCTGTAATAAACAGTTGCTAAATTGCAGTGAAGAACTGCCATGTGAGCGATTCTTGGAAGACTGTTTGGGCTTTTCATTAAGCTGGTGTTCCTTATGCTGCCTAGGGTAATACCCCAGCCAGGTGACAGAGGTTCTTGGGGCTTTCTTGGAAGGCAGAATGCTCCGTGTTTATGTGCGCCGCTGGAGATGCTCTGTTGTCGGGTTACAGTCGGATACATTGGAGTGTTGCTTTCGATGGTACATTAAGTTGATGTCATTGTGCTTCCCTTAGCTTTAGGAAAAGCAAATTCCAACTGCTCTTATCACAGAGTTCACCTAGTGGGAGAGCATGTCCTATTTTTGTAGCAAATTCACATGTATTTCTTTCTTTGCATGCAGTTTCCATAGAGCCTAGCATTGCTTTACTGATTGCAATCCATCAATTTAAGATAGAGTTATTTTAAGACAAGAGACTATTTCATCACTGGAGTGGCCTTTTCATCTACTTTCATCTCACTAAGTGTCTGCCCTTTGGGGCTGAATTAACTTCCAAAATGCGAAAGATTCCTGCCTTGGTCTCTCTGTCTTGCAAAGATGCTGTGTATGCAAGATAAAATTTATATATGACTTCTGAGCATTTGGGGTTGTGTTCCCATGAAAGATGCCACTGAGAGCGCAGACAGGTGAGTTCTGGGACCAAGCTGCAGGACGCGCAAACTGCGTTGAGAAGAGACCCCACGTGTTGTCTGCGCAGACCAGCACAGTGCTAACCCAGGCCAATGCGTTCCTGGCGCAGCCGCTGGGCTCAGGCTGAGCGAGGTTCACAGTGGGCGGTAGCTTTGGATCATGGCTTCTGGTTTATGACTGATCTTCTTCAGTGCTCATTTCTGGAGGGTTTTTTGAAGATGTTTTTTATCAACGTGTTTTTAATATAGCACTATTTTTGAGAACTGCACAGATAATAGAAATTAAATTTTCTGATCTTTTCTAATCATGACGTGTCAATTGTAAAGAAAGGTGATATTTTTTTCTTTCCTATTTGTTCCTGGATTAATAACAGTGTAAAGTCCTTTGTTATTTGAAATACATGAAATTACATATCAGTATGTGCTGCAGCTTCTTCTTAGAGCCAAAGGTAAAAATGAGCTAATATCTTTTCATATAGAACTAATGGAATAAAATTCCATTCTAATTACTTTCATACTTCACTGACTTTCAGATTTATCTCGTAAGCTTTATTTTCTCACCATCTGTGTATGCTATTCAGTTGTATTAGTTATTCCATATTGAAAAACACTAAAAATTAGTTATATATTTTGAAGCAAATACTTCAGTGAATTTGATTTTATTGTTATTCATAAATAATCTGCAAGCCGCTTTCTCAAAGGTGCTATTAACAATTATTTATGTGGTAGAAATACTTAGGGAAATACTGTTGCTCTCTGATCAACCTAAACAGATCATGTGTATTTGAATTTTTAGATTTTAACTTTCTTGGGTTTTATTTGATGGATGTGCATTGATACAGTATTTTTCAGTACAATAATTTCTCTTCTCCTGAACTGCAGAACAGAACATATGGATCACTGAATATTTTGTAGCAGTTGTTTTGTGCACTGCTTTGCATGGAAGGGAAATCTTTGTAATCTCTGTGAAATCACCTAACTTTTTTATTGTTTGCTTGGAAATGCAGTTCAGATTCTTCTTTGCTTTGAAAGGTAGTTCAAGGAAATAAAAAGAATTGACTGCCTGCTCATATTCCAAACAGCGCATGCAAATTTGCTGATATTGCCCAAATCAACACCCGATCTTAGTGCCCGTTTCAGAGCGAATCCATGGCTTACTGCTGGCTGAGCAGCAGCACCGACTGTGCAGGGATCTTGTCACCGCAGCAGTTCCTTGGAAATGGGCTAGCGAGCTGCAGAGCTGGGCCCGGAGCTCGGGGCTGGCCCCGAGCGCTGTCTTTGCAGGCAGTCATTCAGGAGGGTGCAGCGAGGGAAGCACTGCAGGGTATGGTCTGAAGTATTTTGTTAACAGCCAGAAGAAAAAAAAGTCACAGAATTGCAAATTATTCATTATTGTGGTAAAGCTGAAGATTTTTAGAAATCTCAAAGGGCAGAAGGACACGTGAATTATTCAAACATTTGGGCAATGTTTCTGCCCAGCGACTCGCGTGGCAGCATGTTTGAAAGGGCAGTTGTCGTGCGCAGCGCTGGGTGCCCGCAGGAGCGCCGTCCCGTCCGGCTGCGCCTGCGGAAGGCGCTGCCCGCGTTCCCATGGCGCATCCCATCGCTCCCTGCAGCCTGCGGGTTACTCACATGCATGCTCTTGATGAAATACATGCGTGCAGAGCATGCCGCTGCACTGATGCATTGCAGTACGGGAAAGAGCACTTGGTGCGGGTCTTTGCATTGTGTGAATTCAGTTAATTTTTCCTTTGTAGCACCTCATAATTTTTCTGAGGAGAGGTCATTAATCATTCTGAATTGTGTAGAAGTTTGTGTGATAGCAGTTAGACCACCAAACCCTGACCCTGGAGGAAATGAATTCCTAAAGGTGAAAAGCAAGTGTTTTCTTAATTAAGCCACCTAAGCTGCCTGCTTTTGCAAACATTTATTAAGTCAATTCAGATGAAGTCAGATTAGCACTTCTAGCTGCAGTGAATATTGGTTTCATTGGACTACAAGTCCTTGTTTTCAAATAAGTACTCAATCTCTTAACACAGCAGCAAATTATTCTGCCCATCTGTCTGACAACTACAACTGAAGTAGTATCTAGATGGTAAAGAACAGATCCTTTCCAAGTAATTCATTTATTAAATCTTACTTAGTAGTTATTTGTAATAGCACACTTTTTGAAGCTATTTTTTAAAGTTCTTTTTCATTTGCTACATGCAACTGAAATCTGTAGAAAACAAAATATCCTCGATGCTGTGATCTTACAGGGCAAATAATCTTGGTACCGGTAGGGCTGTCCCAGCCAATGCGCTCAGAGACTGACGAGTGTTTCGGGAGGACATGAGAACCAAACGAGGCCGGGAGCCCGGCCCGGCCGGGCCCGGGGCAGCGCCGGGTGGGCCTGGCTCTGATCCGCAGCTCAGCTCCACTTGCCGCTGGGGCTGCCTCTGGCAGCCGGGTTCTCCCCCTGGACTGGGCACCCTTCTCCTTTCCGATTGAAGGACGAGCGTACGTGAGGGAAGCAGAAGCCCCTCGGCCTGTTCGCAAGAGGAGGCTTTTGCTAACGGGCCAGGATTTGGCTTGTACCACAATCCCTTGTGAAGGCGTTGCCATTTGTTTTTCTGTTCTGGAAGAAATATTGGCGTGCTTAAAGATTGATGTATTTAGCTTGCTAGACTGGAATATGAATGTAGGAATAAAACGAGGAATGTCATACTCTGAGTCAGATCCTCTTTGACTAGTTGAAAAACACAGAGTATTGAGTTGCTGCAAGCTGCTATGAAAGGTGAAAGGAAGGAGTTTTTTCCAGATTCGTTTCTTGCCTTTGGTGCTGACCAGCGCATCAGTTAGGACATGATGGTGTGGGAATGGAAAGAGCGGACATGGAGGCAGATCTATCCCCACATAGGTGCATGCTCACTGAAGGGCGGCGCTGGCCTTCCCGCCTCTGCTGGTTCGTGGTGCTGGGGTCTGTGCGGCAGCGAGGCGGGACTGGCAGTGAGGGGCTGACACAGCGACCTGCAAGGAAATCCCTTCAGCGGGTTCAGGCCTTGCGGAAAGTGATGAGAGGATCTTTTCATGAACTGCTATTCTAACTGCTACATATTTTAAAAGTCTGTACTGCAATAAAAAGTAATGATTTCTGGCAGAATACATTACAGATCTAAATTCTGCACAGGAAAGATTTGGTTGCATTTCCTGCCTTTTAATTTTCCCTTATTGAAATGTTGGCTTTCAGGAAAGAATGATCACATACTTTCAGTTTGCCACTGGCTTTGCTGTACTTCATACTCCCTTATAAAATAGACATAGTCATATCCTTGTCTCTGCAAATTACAAAAAAAATCTTTTAAAACCCTTCCTAACTATGTGCGCGTATATTGTCTCCACAGTAAACCTTAGATCTTCCTGTTTTGAAAGCTATAATAAATACTCAGCAAAGTGAATGTTAGAATGAGCTCTTTAACTCAGTGTGAAATAGAATTGCCCTGGAAAGGCTGGAGTTACTGCACAGCCATCATTTCTATTCTGTTTAGGTTTTTGTATTGCTCCTGTGAGAGGATGGTTTGGAGCTCCTCGGAGTTATTTTCATTCTGACTAATAAATGAACAGTCACTCTGGAGGAAATGATTGCACTAGGAATTCCAGTCTGCAGAACCAGCAGAGCCCACAAGTGTTATGGGTGTTTGTTGTAAAAATGACCCTTGGGGCCGTTCAGAAAAGCTGGTCCAGGAGGCAGTTCTCCTCTGGGGTCTTTCTGGGGTGTTACGGATAACTCCTGTTTTGAATACTGGCCATCTGTGTCAGCATCTAGAGAGATCGTTCTCACTAAGTTAATGTTAGTGTTTGTAAATAATTCCCCTCCTCCTGTTCCCTGTCCTCAAGGTCATTTTTTTCTGAAATGCTGATGCTTCCTTGCTGTTCACTGAGGTGCTTGATTTTATCACTGTAAAATTTGTTGAAGAGAGATCATTGCCTTTAAACAGATTTGTGCTTTATCAGCACAAGCAAGCTGCTCTTTCTGCAGTACCTGTTTAGTGTAATATATGTTGTTTGGGGTTAAAAGAATAATAAGAAGTTCTTGTTTAGTTATCAAGGTCGTTTCTTTGCTCAGTGTGAAAGAGTGGCACTTGTTCAGTGCTTTATAATAATGCTTTTATACGTCAAATTCTGAAGGAAAAAATAGATTCAGTTTCAGAAAGAGGACACTGCTAATTTTGGTAAGCATACGTAAGTTACCATGACACCTGTCTATATATATTTAAGGAGCTTTTGGTCTTTTTAATGACTGTCTCACAATCCTAAAATTGCTCTAATCCTGGAAGACAGCATCAGTTTACACCTCTATTTAAAGAAAAGCTTTCTCCAGAGTCATGGGTGGTTCTACTTCTTTCCAGCATTTTCCTGCTCAGTTTTGGTAAATGCCCTTTTCTTTATTCTTTCCTAATGCAGAGATTTCCTGCTCCGAAAAGCTCCTAGTTTCTGTGAACTGTTGTGCTCGTGCGGATGAGCTGCTGCTGCGGCGCAGCTGGGAGCAGTCACCGCCAGGCAGGCCGGGCCCAGAGGCATCTCCAGCGAGTGGGGCCTCGATAGCGCAACCAGCCCGTGACCGACCAAACAGCACATTTGGGCTGGTGTTGCTGACAGCTTCATTATTTCTGTGATGTTCAGCTGGGTAACTTCTTTCTGAGGGACCACAATATCCTCAGATTTGTCTAATGGTCTGCATGTAATGTTGTAGCTCTCTGAGCATGGATATGGTTGCTCCTGTTTAGGTTTTTCGTAACATGGAGAAGAAATGCAGTAATCAAACACATTCAGGTCTTTGCTGTTTTTGTAATGAGGCAGCATCTCCATCAGGCATCCTTAGTGAGAAGCTCTGATCAAATGCAGCAGCTTTTTGATTCCTGGTTCAAAACGGAAATATTTTTAAGGATGTGCTGAATCTCCATGCTAAGGTATCGCTGTTAACTTTAACTTTATACTCCAGGTGACCCAAGAAAACTTAGCGTTTTGTGCTTCAGATACTTCAGGCCTGTTTCTGCTACTGGAGCAAGAGGTTAGAGTGGGCAGGAATTTTCCAATTAGAGACCAGAAAATGAAGATGCCACATAGTAAAAAACCAGGCTGTATAGAAACATTACATCTTTGAAGAATTCTGACAAACAGCTCTGGTTTCCTGCTAGTTCATGTAAAAGGGATGTACAAGTTAGGATCCTGGCTCCTCGTTATGCTCCTCGTTAGGATCCCGGCTCCAAGGCAGCGTGCAGGGCGGGCAGCCCTGGCTCCACGTGTCTCCCCGCAGCCCGGGGAGCCCCCGGGCCCCCCGCGCTGCCGTTTCTGCCGGGGTCAGCTCCGCAGCAGAGCCCGCGTGCCAGTGAAATCCGTGTGCAGCTGGGGGGATTCTGGATCAGGAGCCGTGCCTGAGTCAGGGAGCTCAGAGCTTGGACTGTCAAGCTCAGTTTTGTCTACTCACTTGGATCACAGGTGTCTTAAACATTTCAAAACATTTGGGAAAATTACTTCATTGGGAAATTTTCTAGTCTTCATCCAAACACTCTTCTTTTTTCACTAAAACAATTTCAGAATTTCTTGAGTTAGCTCACTTCTATGACAGATGAGCGGGGGAATGTCTTTTTTTTTATGAATATACTGAACAGTTATGTGTCTCTGTGGATAATAGATTTTTAGCTGTGGATTTGATTCAAGGACACTGGCTGAGGGCACTGGCAAGACAGTGAGATTGACATCAGTGGCCTTGAGGAAACGCGCGGAACGGGAACACGGAATTGAAGATGATTGGTAAGCGGGGAGCCAGAGAGGCCGTAATTGTCCAAACCAGCATGGAATTTACTGCAAGAGCTTGTGTGTGTGACAGCTTGCAAAAACACGTGTTTGTAGGCCATTTTTCCTCTCTTCTCGTATACCTTCAGATGTATAGGAAAAAAGACTCCAAACCACAAAACAGGAAAGAACAAAATACATGATCCTGCTTCAAGGAGCGGAATCACTTTGACCACCTTTGTAGTCGTAGATTTGCACAGTTGGACCGCGCACAGATGCCAGGCGGAGCTGGCCTGGCTAAGCCGCCTGCGCAGGAAAGCTGGAGTCCAGCTGCGCCGTGGGACCTGCGTGCGCCGCTGGGCCCAGCCACCAGGCTCTGCGGACGTGGGAGCTGCCTCGCCGGGCGGGTTTCCAGCAGCCTCAAATGCAGCTGTCCCTGCAGTCATGGCCGCGCCTTTGCCTTTGGTTGATCAGGAGGTGAAGTCAGACTCCGTGTGAAGCTTCAGAATTCCCTCTGTTGGAGTGCGTTTCTTAGCCCCAATCCGCGTACCTGAACTCCAGGCTCTACTGGTCTCCGGACAGTATCTGCGCAGAGCCGGGACACGAGGGGATATGGAACAGGGAGACGTTAGCGTTGGCTTCCCAAGGAAGCGCTTGCTGCCGAGATGGCCCACGCCATGCAGTGTTGGCCGTAGTGGGCCCGGAACGAGGCAGCACGTGTGTAGCTCCTGTTCCATGGACCACGTCCTGCTTTTGAAGAACTGGGGGAACACTGCCACCTATTGATTGCCTGAAAAAAGCTGAATGTCTCCCAACTGCCCTGGGATTACACACTGCATTTATCATCACTCGCTTCAGAAGCGTTACCTGTGGCCAGAGGGAACATGCGCATTTTGATAAATTAATGGCCTTCAGAATGTGCTGCTTGGTTACGTAAAATATCTATTCTGTATAAAATTGAGACTAATACAGGGTAAATATTTTGCTATGTGTGTCAGTTGATCTTAATTTACATGACCTCTTTAAATGAAGTGAGTTATTGCTAAACTCACCTCTTCATGAAGCTTTAGCAATAGCAGTGTTAGCTTCTAGGATCCGTGTGTGCTGCGTGTGGGGAAACTTGTAGAATGAGCAGACATGGAATAAAAATCCCTCTGTTGCAGTAGGTTGCTTAATTAATTAAGTAGTAAAAAGTACAGCAAAGGAAATATGTGGCTCAGCTAATTGAGTATGAACTATACAGACAAGCGAAGGAATAAACAGCTGACGTCTGTGAGTCATCTAAAGGAGTCATCAAGGCATAAGAACATGCAGGTTCCTGCCCAAGATCAGACTAACAGTTCTGCTTACATGTGTTTTATCTTAAATCTATACTTTTATTTTCTATAGGGTTCTTTTTTCCATTTTGAGAACCAGATATAGGTGCATCTTGCATTTATTTACACACGTTCAATCATGATTGAACGTGTGTAAAATCTTATGATTTTATCTTTTAGTAAATTCTTAATTAGCCCTCTTGCCGTAGTAAGTGTTTTTTACAGATTTTGAACAGCTGAACAATAAACTTAAATCCATGTAACAGGAAGAATTAGCTGTATATTCACTAATTATCTTTCTAAGAACTTGGGTTCTTAGCTCAGATGACAAATTTTGTATTTTACTATTGTACCAAATGATACTTGGGTAGCAGTGGAGAAGTGCTAAGCATTGTAGAAATGGAAATGTCAACTACAGAATTTCTAATTTTCATTAAGGTGAGGGGAGAAAGCCAAGGAGAGAAAAGGGAAACTTTGATCCACAATGGAAAATGGCTAGAAAGTGCTTAAGAATAGACTAATTTGAATAAATTCACTGTAGCTTTCCCCATGGAAAATGATGGCTAACGATCCTCAGAAAGAGCAGAGGAAAAGAGACAGATTTAGCACAGATTTAGCCTGTGCTGGTGACAATGCAGGAGAAGGAACATTTGGCATGGTGTGTTCCAACACTGGGTACGTCTAGTCTGTCTCGCTGTATATACACATGTATTAGTTCTCAAAAATGGTTTGGCCTGTGATTGATGAAAACTGTATGGAATAAGTTAAAGTGCAGTGACACGAATGTACAAACCAGGACCAGATTTTGGCTCACGCAGCCGTGGCGAAAGGGGTGCCGTTTGGTATGAGGTTGTGTACCCGGCCCGCGCGTTTTGGAGGGCAGGGGAATCGGACTGGTCAGCAGCTCTGGGAGGACTTTCCATAAACAGGTACCAGGGCTGAATGCAGCCTGTGAAGCTTTCTACGTGTTATAGTAGTAGTTTTGGTAGCTAATTAAAAACAAGACAAAAAAGTCCGTACTGTAGGACCTAGAAGTTGTTGCCTTTGACAGACCCAGGAGAGGTGTCTCCATTTCTTTTTCCTGTTGCCACCTGTTAAACAGGGGCGTTCTGCTTACCCGAGTCCAGCCAGGAGACCGTCCTGACCGGCTGCTGCTCTTCCAGACTGTTGCTTATCTTTGTCCATCACCTATATTGGTTTTAGAATTCTGGGGCTATGCATGGTTATTTCATATGCTGGCTTTGGAACAGCTTTATTGGTTTCTGTGGGATCCACAATTTTTATTTTTTGCCTATTGCAAACAATATTTATTTTGAAATACAACCATTCCAATATTTTGGAAGGTATTAATGCTGCAGGATCCGTTTTAGCTGAAATGCAGGCATCAGTAAGGTATGTTTTCCTTATTTATTTGATAATATTTTTCAAAGGTAACCTGTTGGGGCTGGGAGCTTTCAAACGATCTTGCAGATGTCCCATAGCTGTGGATGTGGTTGCTGCTTTTGTTGCTATGATTGCAGACAGCTGTAGTGTAGCTTGCTTGAAGAAAGAAGAAACAATACATCACATGCAACACGCATTACTGGACAGAGTGCAGGATTGGGATTCTTTTTTTCCCCTTTTATTGGTTTAACATAAAACTAACTGTTTTAAGATGGCAGTATTAATGTTTTTTTTGCCCGTACTTCATGACAAATTAATTACAATTGCAGTTTTGTTTACTCTGGCAGCAATTATTTGTTCTGCTTGCATCCTGAGCTGCTGATCAATGTTAAGGGATAAAACAAGCTAAAAGAATACAGAAGTCATGGCATTTTTGACTACAGAGGCTTTAGATTTTAGACATTCTTACAGTGCAGTAGTAATTAGTAAAATAAAGGCACCACATTTTTTACCTGCAATATGGAATTATTTGCTTTAGGAATTATTTTATTCTAAGATCTAATCAGTGATCTTGGACTTCAGTAATTGCCAGTAATAAGCTTCTTCATTTCTGATCATTCGTGCAGTGTGGGGAAGAGGTTTGCTCGTTCTGCCCAGAGGCTGAGCCGGAAGAGACAGCAAAACCAATGTGATTCATTGCGGGAAGATAGGGAACAATTGCCACCACTTGCTCACGTTTTGCCTTGCATAGCCTGAGCTGGTAAGTCAAATTTATTTTTGAATACATGTATTCTTTAATTATTAGTTCTAGTATGAAATGGTTTAACATGCATATTTAAGTGCATATATAGTGCTGAATGTTTTTTTGACTGTTGTGTGTGTTTTCCTAAAATCTGAAGTTAACACAGCTATGCTGTGTCCTTCCAGTGTGCCTGTCTGTAGAGCAGAGTGTTTATGTGCCACATAAAACAGACACTGATCTGTAATTCAGATTTTTCTTCTCTCTGCAGTATGATTTAAAAGCAGTGCATGAATAATAGATGAATATTTATCAATCAAAAAAAAAAACTTGTATAAGGACAACTTATTTATTTTAAATGGACTTTCCAGCACACTGCTGTTGGGGAATGAAAAGGTTGCTTTAGCCCTTAGAGGTACAAAAAGTCTGATCCCAAAGATAAGCTCCCCTGTCACTGGCTTGATCCGCGCCCTAGCAGGGTGACAGTACCAAGCGGGAGCCTGTTTTGGTGCTTCTTTCCAGTGTGGTGCAGGGACTTCCCCAGAGGTGCCGCTCACTGCTCCTGTTACACGGGTGGCTGCTGCTGTTGCTCTGTGCAGTTCCAGCCTTTCATGGCAAACTTCGTAAAGTATTTGTTGTTGTAGTACCTGACCAACTGTGAGAATACAAGTTGGTTGTATCATACATAACCACTCTGAACCCTATGAGATCTCCCTACTCATTTTATTTTGACCTATGCCAGATACACAGAGCTTTTCAAGGTGCAGGTATCGTTAGGGTTGATAATGGACATCCCCTGTGACTAAACTGCCTTAATAGTGTCAGTCTTTAATATATAGCTTTAGTTTAAGTTGCCACAGTGATATATCGTAATGTTAGCATATTTCAGGCTGCTGTACAGTGACAATGTACATTTTTCTGTTTCACCTGACTGGTGAAGTGAGGACATTATTGGTTAAACAAAAAAGGAAAGACTTAGAAAAGGAGCCTAAAGCTGCTCTTGTGAAATGGTTTGCATCTGTAAAAATAAGCAAATGCCAGCATCCAATAAAAAGAATTATGTGAGTTGACTTGTCTTTGTTTTCCTTATTATATATTTTACTCATGATTTTACCTGATCTCATTTCCATTGCTCCTCTTGGGAGTCATTTCCACAACTTAATAAGATCACACGTCCAGAAAGTTTTCCAGAATATGTGGCTTGCATTTACCTTTCCTTTTTTTCATTTCATAGCTTGTATGTGACCAAAATATCTGCAGTACAATAATAATCAGCAATGCTTTGCATTTTGTCTCAGTACAATGGTGAAAAATAAGGCTCATATTCGTTAAATTAATCCAGCTCTTGCTTTGCTGTTCTCTGTTAATTCCATGCAATATTCCATGGTTCTGATGGTTAGTATAGAGGATAAAATGTATTCAACATTTTTGAAGTTATTTGCAATGCACTGATTCTTTGTGGACAGCAAGGATGCCATCTGTTTTATCACTGATAGTTGCTTTCTTTTATAGTTCTTATTTAGCTTTTCTATGGACTTGCCTGCTCTTGACTAGAGAGGAACTTTCATGAGTTTATATAAGATTTTATGCTTTTTACACATTCATGTTGGTCTTGGGGATTTGCTTTGGCTACACACTCAAAAAGCTTCCATGGATAATATGAAAAATCTGTTGTTACAGTCCTTGGAACTGAATGCTTAGATGGTTAATAACATTTTTTTTTCTCTTTGGATATCTAAGGCCTGTTTCCTCAACCTGATGAGAGTGGTAGAGACCCGGGCAAGCCCCGGGGTTGTAAAGCTGCAGTCAGACTAAGGGGTAGAGGCAGCGCACGGGAGAGCAGCCTCTGCGCGAGCAGGCGTGCTGTCGAGTTGCTCCTTGGCTTTTGAGTTGGAGGTGTCGGCCAGCAGCCAAATGATTCCTGACTTGATTTTGGTTCTGAGACTACCCAACTTCCTGGAGCACTGAGGGCCTTTCTTCTGCTTACAGTATCCACAATTGAAAGAGAATCAACCTGCAAACTATCTGAATTTTAAATGTATGTTAGGAGATGTGTGGCTAAACTAATTCCTCTACCAAACCCTCAGATTTCTTGGAAGACTGTCCAAAGACTTAGAAGTGCTTCTCATTTACTTGCTCAGATTAAATTCCCCTTATAAAAGAAAATGCTGCTGTCAAGGTACTCTCTGTAAAACTAACTAAATAAAATGAATTCTTCTTGAAAACCACTTCTCCGTCTGCTTCAGAATAGTTCAGATTTGGCTTTCTGGACACTCTGTGGAAGATACCTGGTCAAATGTGTTTAAGGAGAAGGATACAAATACGCTTTCAGGCTGCTGGAGTACTAATTAAAAAGCAGGCTGAACGGGGTTGTTTCAGTTTGAACCTCACTTCAGCCCAAATACGCTTTCAGGCTGCTGGAGTACATATACTAATTAAAAAGCAGGCTGAACGGAGTTGTTCCTGTTTGAGCCTCACTTCAGCTTTTGTCCATATGCTCAGAGAAGGGCAGTCCACACTCATCCATAGTGCAGCAGCTCCCGAGCCCCTGAAGTGCCCGGCTTACCACCCTGCTCACTGCTGGAGGGAAGCAGCGCCCGGGTCCTGCTCCTGTGCTTGTACACACTGCCGTGCCAATGAAACCAACTCTGATTGTCACACATTGCCGTGATCTTGATCCAGTCTCTTCATTCAGAGACTCTTCTTCCCCGTGAGCTTGGGGAATGTGTGAGGTTATTCGCAGTTGGATCCTTGTGTGCACAGGACATCTGCTTCCCTACCGCTGGCGGGTGAGAAAGGAAGGTGTCAGAGTAACAAAGATTTGTTTTAAAGCTATGTTGTTTCTCTTCTAGAGACACTAGATGAAAATGACACAGCAAATGCATAATTTAAGTCTCCTGCAGACTAAGAAGAGCAGTGGGCCATCTTCTCCAAACGCTGCGAAGCGGTTGTATCGGAACCTCTCGGAGAAGCTGAAGGGCAGTCATACATCCTTCGATGAGGCGTATTTCAGAGCCCGGTCAGACCGACTCAGTCTCCGTAAGACTTCCATGGTAATTACTTAATATTTCTCAAATTCACAGTTTACTATCTTACTCATTTTTCCCTCGCCCCTTAATCTCAATATGCAGTAGAACCTGGTCTGTTTGCTGGAGAAAGGTGAACTTGCTGCCAATACTGTTGCAACAAAACAAATCCACTATTTCTTTAATTAGGAAGACATATCCCTCAACTTCTCTGAATTATTTTGAGGAAAAAAGTTCCTCTCCACTTAGGAAGAGCAATGACTTATGACAGTGTCTGTGGCTATGCCAGGAGACACCTCTTGAAACCATTACTGTGCTGCACTAAAGCAGATGTTCAGCAGAGGAATAAGCTGAACATGGTTGGGCCAGATGATGAAAATACTACAGTATGCCAGAAGAAGCAGCACAGTCTAGTTTCCTTTTGCACTAACAAATCCATATAAGATATGAGACATTATAGTGGGACATTATATACATGGAACTGAAACTAATTTTAAAATCAATTCAAAGTGATGCTAACAGACAGGGTCACTCCTCTCATGAGTTTAGAGGACCCAGGCGTGGCGCTTGGAAGTGGTAAGTTGAAACGTAGCGCTAATAAATGGGAAAGTCAAAAGGCTGTTGTCTGTCTTGTGTGAAGAAGCCGTGATTGTGTGATCCAAAGTACATATGGGATCATGGCGCTCTCCTGTAGCCTCACTGGAGTTTGTTTTACTGCAGGAGAAGCCTGAAACTGCAGTTGGGCTTGGTGGTTGGAGTACAGCTGTGTGGAGTACAGGCCACGGCTGCTCTTTAGAACAGTGGGTTCCAGTGGGCGGTGGGTTTCCAGGTGCTTTCAGTTTGGGGATCACTAGAATTTGGACTTCGATTTGAGTGTGAAGGCTCAGTTTGACGCTGTGTGGAGCTGGCGGCTTTGTGGAATAGAGATGCCTGTAAAATGAACTTCCCCTCAAGCTGCTGCCCAGCGGGGAGAGTGGAGCCGCCGTTGTTGCTCCTGGCCTACTGCGAGCTTGGGTATGGCCACGTGTTACTAGCCTGGGGCCTGAGCTGCTGTCCCCAGCAGCTAGTGAAAAGATTCCCATTGAACTCCACAGGCTGCGCATCCCGTTCCTTCGAATCTCCCAGTTGCCTGTTGTTTTCACAGTTTTCTGTAGAGTTGAATACCACAGAAACAATCAGTGGAGGGGTAGAGATAAGATAGATCACGTTGCCAGTTGATTTATTTTGTAATCTTTTGAGTTTCTGCGGTACTGAGCTAATTCTGTGACTAAAATCAAGGCTCCAGACAAGTGAACAACATTTGTTAAATTTGTTTTCTTTCAGCTTTGGCTGGTGAACAGTTTTCTTTCCATTCTCTCTGCTGTGCAACACTTTCCATTCAGTAAATTGTTGTCTTGCTGCAGACATAGCAATATCCCAAAATAGCTTTATTCTTGAACTCATGTTTATCAAAACAAGTCTTTGCAGAAACTATTTTAACATTTTTTCCAACTCCAGTAGCACATAGTAGAGTTTTTCAGGCTAACCTAGAGCAAATATCTTGAAAGGGGTACTTCATTTTAATTAAGCTACATAAGATTGCATTTCTAAACACTCCAGCACTGAATCACTTACTGGAACATGGTTATTACTTACAGCAAAGCAATACTGTAGTCCTTTTCAGTATATACATTTGTGCACCAGTGTAACACCTAAATAAATTAATCACATAGCACAGCTGTCTAAAGCTAGTGATTAGAGGCTGCAGGACTGAGTTAAAGGAAAAAGAAATGTAAAAATTGTCCCTAAACTGCCTGATCACCAGTTTCTGTTTGAATTCAGTGGTTTGTCTTTTCATAGCAGAAGAAAATTATCTAGGAGATGCAAATGGAGACAGAAATCAGGAGGCCTAAATAACATTACATTGTCATCTTTGCACAGTTTGAGTTTCGTATTCCTGGGCTGCATATATCTGAAAAATACTGAAATATTAAAGACTTTTTAAAATAGCATATGATAAGTTTTTGCAAAAAAATATATAATAGTGTTGTGGAGTATAGAACATTTTCTGGGCCTGGAAAGCTGCGCTCAATGCAGACTTCCAGTGCAAACTGGGGAAATTTATTGTGGTGGTTGAAAATGTGGTAAATATTTTGCTGTCTCACCAGGATGTCGTTGGAGTGAATTGCATCTATTATGGTTTGCTGCGCACTACTGTGTGGATGAGGGATTACGTACATGCCTAGCTAGAAAGGCCGTATCACAATTCCCATGTTTTTTCTCTCTTTGAAGTTACTAGACATGCCAACATATTTCAGACTATTGGTTGTGTCTGAATTGTTCATTTGGAAAACCTGATATTTGCAATTTGGTCTCAGAACTGTTTGGATTGGATGAAGTAAGTTATAAACTTCATGCTCTGTTTCTTGTTTAAATGAGTGCAGCTTTTTCAATCAGATTTCTAATGAAATGAAGAAATAGAAATTTGCTTTTATTTTTGCATTTTTGGTAAAACATTCCTGCCAATAGATTTGCTGGCAAGAACATTTATGAGGAACTAACTTAAGCATGTCCTTAGATTCTGTTCAGCAAATTATCAAGGGCCAAAATTTCAGAAATACTTTAGATATTTAGTTTGGCAAATAAAAATCCAAAGATGCATTTTCAAAGGCATCTAGGCAGGTCTAAATCTTGAAAATTGAATCCAACAATAACAACTCAGACAAAGTTTTGACAAGAATTTTACAATAGTCATTCAGGTGGATAAAATCTATTGTTAAAATCTATGTAGATACTAGAAAAGTGCCAAATGCCTTTGTCAGCCATATAACTGAGTTATTTTCAGCTGTAATACTGATTCTGCAGAATTCAGCCCTTCTTTCTTAATTACGTTCAAGGGTTTGTTTTTGTTTTTATATAATGCAAGAAACTGCTGAGATGCAGTATGAAATCAGAGTTCATTCAGATTTTGAATTAAATTTCTTTGGTTTGAATTAAAACCAAAACAAATCCAGCACTTAGGTAGCACTCTACAAGTACTAATGCGTTTAAGCCTTATGGACACACCGTGAAGTCTGTTGAAAGAAAATGATTATTCTGATTTCAGAAAGGGAAAAACTACATATGTACCCAGTGCCACAGAGGGAGAGGAAATTCAAACCAAGATACCTGGTTTTCCGGCTTGAGCCTGTGCCACCAACTTGTCACTGATTAATGCCATCAGCTCCAGCTTTTTGTGCTGCGCTCCGACTGGCAGCCCGGGTTTCCCCAGATGAACTTAGCTAATAAAAATCGAATCTAATATAGTCCTTCAGTTAACTTCAATTGATTCCCTTTGTAATAGGCTCTTTATAAATTTGTTGTTAAATAGATTTTACTAGCTGTGATCAGTTACAAGTGTAATAAGATTTTGCCTGTTTTCTGAGTCAATAAATGTGGGGTGCTTCTGAATCATAAATGGCCTTTATTTCAAAAATGACAGTATAGTGGAAGTTTCAAAATTGATAGTGAGAAATTTTGAAATGACAAAAATTGGTGTGAAATTAATACTTTCTCGATGATACTTAAATATTTTTTGAGATTTAATGAGTATATTTTGCTTTTCTCATCAGTTCACAGTTCTCCACCCCTAATAAAGCTTCGAAGTGCAGAGGAGCAGAGCTTTTCTCTCTTTAGCTGACTATCAATGGTCTAAGCAGGTTAGTTTTGAGAACATAATACAGTGATAGGAATCACAGTTCTCCACCCCTAATAAAGCTTCAAAGTGCAGAGAACATAATACAGTGATAGGAACCTATTCGCCGTGTTCCTTATTTGAGTGAAGTTGGAGACACTTAATACGTATCAGAATCATTCCGTTAATTAAAATATTTTGTAATTAAATTAAAATTATTTTAAATTTCTGAACCCTTCATCACTTAAGGGTTAGGGGAGAATCCCCAGAATGAAAGCAATCTTTGATTTCAGAATAAGGTGTTACATAAGCAAGGCAGCAGTGGAGCTGCTGGGATGAAAAGAAATACTGGTGCATTGCAGTAAAATGTTCTGTTTTAAGCTTTACCTAAAATTAGAGAAATAAGAGTCAACCTCTTTTCTAAAACAAACTATAAATGTGCAATCCCTAATGACAGTATTTGTCCTTAAAGAGAATCTTTTGCCTTAAGCAGAGGGAATGGCTAGAGAATGATAAGCCTAGCTGTTTACCTGTTAGCTTTCTTATTGTAAGATTTCTTGCACTTAACACTGAATTATGATCTGAGTATTTGATAATAAAATGATATCTTGATCTCACAATCCAAAGAGAAATTTGGCAGAGACCTGTTGTCATGGAACACTTAAGTTATTTTTTATTTTACATAGAAAACTACAGAAAAAAATTACTTCCTCCAAGTGAGATACCTTTCTAACTTAGGTATCTGAACAGGTTTGTGTGTCATAGCTGCGTGAGGCCCTTTTCCCTTGCGGAACACCTGGAAAGGGCCCTGCAGAGCGGTGCCGATTCCGGGTGTAGCGCTGCACTCTGCCATGGGCTGCGGCTGTAGTTTCCAGAGGTGCTTGCAAATTAGTCTGTGCGTTTTTAAAGGTGAAAAAAGGTGCGAATCCAGCAGATCAGTACTCAACCTGGAAATGTTATTTCACTGAGAGCAAAAAGTTGTGCAAGAGTATGCCAGATACGTTTAAAAAGGGGAGATGAAGTGTTTTGATGTGCTTGAAATGTTAACTTCTGATCACAGTAGAGAGAATGTTTCAGGGTTCATTTCATATCATAAGCAACATGTTATTTTATGAAAATTGCCTCTGTTTCTTCCGCTGTGAGCTTCGGGGCAGAGCAGGGTGCCTTCCCTACGCATGTGCATGCCTTGCTCTCCTGGGGACGCTCTCTCCGGCTTGCCCGCTGGCACAGTGTGTCTGCAGAGCTCTCTGCTGCTGTCCCTGCCCGCGCGCTCGGCTCTCCCTGCTCTGCAGAACCTCTTGCTTCTACTGAACCATTCCTAAAAGAAACAAAAACCTATTGGGTAATTAAGGCAATGGGACCCTGGCAGAGAATTTCAAGAAACTTGGCAAATGATGTCTCATTGCTGCAGCTCCAAAGGATGTTTCCAGCACAGAAACCTGCAGGCCATGCTAGCATCCTGCACCTGCCTCTGTGCAGCTCAGTTAAGAAATGATGAGTTTCTTTGTATGATGCTGTTCTTCATTTATCTCCTTGCCGTTGGTGGGAAAAGGCCCTCGGTGGTTCTTCCTACCTGAGAGTCAGGGCAGTTTGGACTCTCAGCTTTGCTTTATCTTCCTTGGTGTTGGGTGGATCTTTTCTGAATACGGAGAGTACACAGGCAGTTTATTCACACTCATTTCTGCTTCTTCAATTAAGGACTATGGTATTTCTAGTTTGTGTGGGAGCTGTAAATGTTTTTCTCTGGAATGGCTTCCTTAATTTAGGTTTGGATCACCAGAGTTTGATACCCCAGATTTTAGTGTTGAGTTTGGGGTCTGAAAAACTCAGTAATCCAAAACGCTGCCAAAATCACAGTCTTTCATAGAGTTTCACACAGAATATGCAATATCATTCATGTAATTTGAATTCAGGGCAGATCTCTAGGTAAGTGTGGGTTTGTTTTGGATGATTTTGAATCTCATATCAGTCCTCCCACAGACCTGAGCTGAGTTCAAACACACAAGACTGGAAGCCGAGCAAGCAGCGTTTTGACGAAAATTTGCATGTTTCTAATTGGACCTAAACTGGAGCTCAAGGATCAATATTTTACAGCAGTCTCAAAAATACGCTTTTTTTCCATTTATTTTAAAACACTGACGTTTGAAAAGTGGTCTGAATTTCTGTTTTTATTAACATGCAGAATTTCCAGTGCAATGAAGCTATGTTTGAGGCCGTGGAACAGCAAGATCTGGACGCGGTTCAGATTCTTCTCTATCAGTACACGGCGGAGGAGCTGGACCTGAACACACCCAACAGCGAGGGACTGACGCCGTTGGATATTGCCATCTTGACAAACAACGTCCCCATTGCTAGGACTCTTCTGCAGGTTGGGGCGAAGGAAAGCCCACACTGTAAGTAAGAACACAAATTGAACTGGCTTTGATAATTCCCCTTAGGAGATTAAGTTTACTGTTGCCAAAAAATATGTTATGCACAAAGTTGGACTGGCGTTATCATTAGAGTATTGTACCAACACTAGTACCACAGCGCTGGGGGGTATCTGAAGGACTGTCTGCTTGCTGGCTGTGTGCTCAGCAGGTGTTTTTTGTTCCCTAAGCCAGGCATATTAACCGATGAATCAGGTTGAGCTTCTAACCTGATTAACATTTGGGGAGTTGAGTTAGTCAGTAGTGAGAAGAACTGTGTAAACAGAAGCTCAGTGAGTAATCCAAAGATTGCAGGCTAAAATACGGAGCTTGTCTTCAAAAATGGCCGTATAATGGATTGTCTTGACTATGATTTATGATGATTATCCTTTCGATCTTGGCATTGATGCCTTCAAGAGAGAGGGTGTGTTGAAATCTGTCATTGCCATTACCTTGGGCTGCTGCTTATAACTCTTCAGTCCTACTCTTCATGTGACCCAAAATCCCACTCACACGAGAATTTCAAAGTCCTACAGAACCAGTGAAAACATCAGCATGAGATAGGCCTTCTCACTTATAACCAGTTATTGTAGTTATAAAACTGTCCTTTGTATTCCTTCATGGGCATTTTTATGCACAATTTGTGGGTTGGACGGTGACTTACCAACCCAATTAATCAACTGTAAACTATGACACAAACTCTGACGCCTTGCTTGTGTCTAAAAATACCCCAATGTATGCGAATTTGTTTTAAGCTGTCAATGCCTATATTTAGGACATTCCCAGCAAGGCCATAATGAGACTGTGTTTGAGGGGTTCGGCCACTGCAGACTCTGCCATTAATTTCAAGTTAGTTAAATTAACAACATTTAGTGCTGGCATGTCAATCTCAGTGCTCCAGGAAATTGCACCTTGAGGCTACTCACATTGCCAGTTTTTTCACTGCAGAGTGTGTGTGCATGTGCGCGTGTGTGTGTTGGGTTTTTTTGCCAGACCCTCAGTGTTGGTACACCTTTATTGCTTTTCTATGTCCACAGCACTTATATTATCATTTATTCTGGCCTCCTTTAACCTTCCCAGGAGATTTTTGCATAGTGTAGCTGCTCAGTGAAAAGAGTTTTTTAGCTTTATATTTATTTGTTTATTTTTCTGTCATGGTTCATGACTGAGGCTTTAAAAAAAAGTGTGACAGCATTTAGAGTACATGATTGACTGCTGAAGCAACATTCATTAACCATGACAAATCTAGAGGAAAACACAGTCTTGAGTGTTCTAAACAGCAGTAAAAAAGACTAAACTAATTTTTCATTGACCTCATCTGTAAATAAATGCAGTCTGATGGCGAGCAGGGGCAATCATAAATTAGTATTCATTTCCTGTAATTAATGCAAACATGCCTATGAACACAGAGAATATGAATATATAACCACCTCATTTCCATTTCAAAATATACCCACCAAATTTCCACTTCACTTATCTTGATTTTCTGATTGAAATAACGCATCAAGCTTTCTCACTAAAAGCAAATGATTGTTTTTTTCCTTAAGGAGTTAAGGTTGCTGCTTGAAAGCAAAATGCAAAGAAAAATTTTAAGCCCTCAAAACAAAGGTTTGCATCGTGTTTGTAGTTGGCTTCATTCTCATGGAATTGATGGCGATCACCTTCTCTTTTCTCTAGTCCTGCTTTCCCTCCTGTACCTGAGCAGCCCTGTTAGAATGAAATCTGTTCTGTTTTTGTGGTCTCAGGGCTGTAAGAGCATGATCCAGCACTCAGCAGGAGCATTTTCATTTGTCTGTGGTGGGCAGTTGGGCAAAACTTACCCAAGTTTTCTGGGAAAGGGATGGTTTTTAAGGGAGAATTCCGAGTCAGCTCTAGTCTGGGATAGGACACAAGCATCACTGAATCTGGTTGTATAGGTGATTGTATAGGACGTACACAGATCGGGAGTTTGCGAGGTGAAGGCCCTGTCCAAGTGCACCCAGGAGGCTTCCTACAGGGAAGGCTCTTGCTCTTCTACTGTCTTAACTATAAGAATCTGTCTGGAATCTCAGTGTAGCCTCTAACATAACGCTGTAGAAAAGAAGAGCTTGAGGATAGATAGCTTCCAGCTGTGTCACCTGGACTGCTGCCTGGAATAGATAGAACAGAGGATAAAACCATAGAAAATAAAAGTGATCTGCATTTCCACATGAAGCTCAGACTGTATAAATCTTACCAGGAACCTAGCATCTCTTAAACACAAAGTAAGCGGGATCAGAAGTGCAGCGTTTAGAATATTAACTGAGTGTGGAGGAGGTAGAACTTTCACTGTTGTAAAGTCCACTGTGTTACCATCTTTTCAGTTACTGTTATTCATCACATGTTTTCGGCTTGGCTTGTTCATGCAAACCCAAATAAAAATAAGATTAAAATTTCCAGTGGCTGATCTGACATGTTTCCAAGACCTGACAAACGTGGATCTTGATTAAAGCGATACAGCCAGATCCTCAGTGGGAACTTGAAGCAGTGCCAGCTCACAATCACCTGAGGTTCTGGCCCATAAAAGCTCCTCTCTCAGTCCTGGTGTGCTCTCAGATGTGCTGCGTGCTTATTGTAGGCCTGGCTCCAGGAAACCCTGTCACCTTTGGCCTCCCGGTAAACAGCCGGTGCTGAGGATACCGGCAGATTGCGGTAAGCCCGGCCCATGTGTCTCTGATGTCCATATGAAGAATGCTCAGACTTCCACAAGGATGGCAGCAAGCCAGTTTCTGAAAGCGAAATGTTCAAGATAAACCTTCTTAAACAAATCCCGTTGGATGTCAGCGGCGTTAAGTAATTCTTTGCTCTGCGCCTGTGGTTTTTAAAGATCCAATGGCACTTTTCACAGTGGTCTGCAGGGTTATCCCTAGACTCTGTGGAACTGACTGTGATAGAGTGATGAGATAATGGGCATGAATTAAAATAAATAAAAATAAATAATTAAAAAGGCTGGATAACTCTTATTACCTAAGTAAAGGAACAGCTTGTGCAGAATGGCTGTAAAGCCTGAGAAGTTTTTCTGAGAGGTTTTCGAGACCAGACTGGAGCTCTGCGTAACCTGGGCTGACCTAATAGCTGACCCTGGTCTAGAGAAGGTCCCTTTCGCAATGAATTATCCTCTAATCCTGTGATTCCCGATTAGGAATAACATGTCTGGCAGATGTCGTCTATCCTGTGTGTGTTTTGATGTCAAAAACCAGTCTTGGTCTAATATACAACAGTTTGATTGTTTCATAAATGTCTACTCGTTTCTTGCAGAAGTAAATGATCAGTGCAGCTTGTGCGAGACTCGTGCTGCTTCCATAAAATCCCTAGAGAAACCAGGGCCTGGCTGTCCCCATCACTGCTAAGAGTTGTGGTTTGTGACAGTAAAGCATTTTTGATAAATAGGGGCCTTTTAAATCAAGAGTATCTGAGAGCTCTTCTGCAAAACTACCAGACACCAGATAAAATTTATTTTCTGTGATTTCATGATTCCTTCTCTTGTAGGCTATTTCCTGTATATTGAACATCAGATCAGTTGTTGCATTCCTTCTCATTTTAGGCAGCTTCATAAATTGTAGTTTTTAAGCTGTAGATAGTTTGAACAAGCTCAACCTAAAAACAGTTCGGAAAATAGTGATTGATTCTACTCGTTTCACTGCATAGGGGCTAATCTGTGGCACTTCTGTGCACTTGGGCAGAGATCAAAGCCTATTTTAGCTTATAACCTATATTATTGTCATTTTCATCTTTATATAGCACTTAGCAGTTTGTAAGTTTGCTGGATGGACTGCTAAATGTTGAACAGAACATAGAAATTGTTCTGTGCACTGGAGAAAAACAGAGCCTCTGTGTGGCAAATTCTTCACTGTCTGTCAAGACTTGGAGAACTGAATAGAGCTGCACGTGGGGGATGTTCTGAAGCCCAGCCAGAGCCCTTAAGCACAGCACTCATTCTTCTACCTGCCAAACTCTCTCTTCATTTGGAGCTCTATATATTTATCGTATATGTTTATCTATAATACCAGCCTCTCTTTGTTCCATAGAACCTTACGTTGTTATGGCTAAGTAGAGGCCAGGGAGATGGAGAAAAAATGTTCAATTTCTTAGTTCTTTTTTTTTACTATTTTGCCAATTTAAAACATTCTCTTTCAGACTACTTAAAATATTATAAAACATTTAAGAAACACTGGGAAGTAAAATTTGCTCAATTTAGACAAATGAACATATTCTGAAGTGGTGTAAATTGCCATGGCAGTAATCCACTTGACCAAAGGACATCTACTGCAAGACAATGTTGGAAGGATTTGAGCTTATACGGGTTAAATTGAGATGCCCGAGGCCATAATTCTATTGCTTTAGTCCGTGGAGTGATGATTTATTTTTCTCTTTCCTTGGAAGTTGTTAACATGGAAAGCAGGTCAGCGCATCTGAGCACCTTGGTCCAGGAAGCACAGCAGCGTGTTACCGAGTTGTCTGCACAAGTGCTGAATGAAGGCCTGGGGATGGACAGCACCGAGAAGGAGAAGCAGCTGAAAGCATGGGAGTGGAGATACAGGCTCTACAAGCGCATGAGGGCCGGCTACGAGCATGCTCGTGAGTAGAGGAAAGTCATTATGAAGTTCAGGACAAGAATTCCGTGCCACTGAGAGTACCCTGCCTTGATCAAACAAAAATACTCTGATACTCACAGGACTGCTGTGAGGCAGACGAGTGCTAAGGTGGGAAAACTGAGTAGAACTAAGTAGCATCACCCCTAATGAAAAGAGAATTGATGTAAGAGCAAAAATGTGAGAGCAGCAAGCACACAGCTCCGTTAGGAGCAGGCTGCTTAAACTGATCAGAAGAAGCCTACATGCTTTTGGTTCAGGATCTAAACATTCCCTCCTGCTTCTTTCTGTTCACATTTACTTCTGGATTTCATTTAGTGTGACCAGACTTTAAAATATGACTATGAGGAATATGTGACTAGAGGAGAAGAGAGACAGAATATTTGCATTTTTCCTGTTGCAATTTAAAAAAAAAAAACTTTTAGGAAAATGGAATTTTAAATATTTGATCAAACAATGGAATTAAATATGAAAATATACTCTTATTTTTTGGCATCTGCATATGAGAGCTGTCACAGATTAGACTACTTTTAAACAATCTTACAAGTGAGTCTGTACCCAAAGTAAAAGCTATTTTGTACCCATGGCAAGGACTGAACAAGCAGGGCTGAGCTGTGTCCCATTTAGATCTTCAGACTGTGTCCCATTCAAGGAAAAGCAAGCTTTACCATTAACACTTTTATAGCCACCGTTAGCTAAATGTACTTACAAACAATTTTGGCAAGGTTTTTCTATTCTAATTTTTTTTTCAGGGCAAATATGGGGCTTCTTGTATTAGATATTAAATACAGTTTAATGGTAAGTTATTATAATGAAAAAATGGTTCTTCACATCAGCAGTAACTTGTGACATTTTGTGTTTGATTTCTGAATTGAGTCTGATTGATAGTCTGTGAATTCAGCTTTGTTTTAAAAGACATTAAGCCTCAACTGACAAATGTATTTTGGAACTACTACACAGAAACATTTGTGAAGTATGCAATTTCTGAATCACAATAATGTAAAAATGGTTTCTGTCATTTGGCATATTGGAGTTTGTTAGTGAAACCATAAAGGTTTAATTAGTTCTTTGTGGTTTTGTCCTTTTTCTCCCCTCTTACCCACCTCAAGAGATTTATAGGGGCTTTTCATTGACATAATTAGCATGAATCTGTTTTATTGGGTTACATATATGCAGGAAGATATTTTTAACCAAAAGGAGCCAAAAACCATGATAGAAACAAATGGTGTCTGCAGGATATTGTTAGCAGGGGCACTAATTAAAATGCTCAAAAGGCAGAGAACACAAACACCTCCAACCCAAAGCTCACAATTGCAGGGTGATTTTCAGTGGGTTCTTTGAAGACACAAACATTGTTTGAATAGGATTTGTTGTGCTGAAGAGCTGATGTTTTCTCTTCTCTCCCAGGAGCCCCTGAGGCGCCAACTAACGTCTGTCTCATGGTAACAAGCAGTACATCACTCACTGTCACCTTCCAGGAACCTCTGAGTGTCAACTCAGCTGTGGTGACCAAGTATAAAGGTACTGGTTTTAGACATCTTTCATTTATCTTAGCTATGTACAAAAATTTGAGAGCTAAGCGACCAAGATATTTATCTACAAGAAAGCATTTTGCAGTGTACATATTTGGATTTAATTATTATCCCTGTCAGTAGCTCCAGAAGAGAATTTTTCCTGCAAAGAAAGAAATTTTCAAAAAAGTAAGATAAGTTAACCAAAAGCTTTCTCCTTGAGTGTTTTGAAGAAATTCGCTTGACTCGCTGTGGTTAGGACATCAGCTCAGTGACTGGGTTGAGATGAGCCAGCTATAAAACACAAGCTAACTTTTGGTGCCTGTGGGCTTCTGGAACCATGTGTATCTTTGTAAATGCCAAACCCACACCACCATTTCTTAAAGGAATGCCTCTGGAAGCTGAAACTTCTGGCAGCATCATCATACAGCCCCACTAATTAGCTATTCCAGGGCTGCCACATCATTCCTGGAAGAGCAATACATTTGGGGTGGCACCAGTTAGTTGCAAAGTGGAATGAATAGGAAAATGCTTCCATCTGAATAGCTCTGTTGAATAGAAATGGTTTCAAAACAGAATTTCTGTTCCACAGGAAATTCCAACTTAAAAAAAAAAAGTTTTATTGCAGGTTAGAACAAAAATGAGAAATTTTAAAATTTCCTGTTTAAAGGAACTTCCAGGTTTTCTAAAATGTTTGGAACAGTAAGTTCTTCCAAGCTAAGTGCAGCAATCAGCAGCCTCCATGTTCCGTTGGGTCCCAGGGATATGTATCAGGATACCCCTTCCCCATAAAAGCACCGTGCCAGGAACAGCGGCCTTTGCTTGCCGGGGGGAGGCAGAGGATGGGGACCTCAGTGTCCCCCGGCTGATTTCCTGCTACTTCTGTCTCAGCCTTCCTGCTGTCTGTTCCAGTTTGCATTAATAATTCAAAACATTGTCGGAGAGGTGTTTGAACCTTGGATTGTCCTGTGGACAGCGAGGACTGCGACGGTTGGGTTGTGGAGCCGTCTGTTTGGTCTGTGCGTGAGCGGCGCTGAGGGCTCCAGTCCGGGAGCGCCCAGCAGCTCATGGGGCTCCTCTGCAGCTGGGAAGTGCAGGTGCACAGGCCCCCCAACATCTGCACCCCGAGGACTGCGTACTCTTCCTTTGCGCTAGGTAGATTCTCTTTCTGTCCTCCCCCTGCTTTCTGTCATGGCCGGGTTTGGCCAGCACTAACCTTTTTCACAGTGTTTAAAAAAAAGGGCAACCTCCCAGACAGCCTCCAGCCCGTCAGAGCGATTCTGCTGTTTATAACCTCGGGAGAAAGGTAAATTACTCTATTCTACCTAGTCGACTGTGGAGTGCTGCAGGAAGGGAGACTCTGAAAAGCATCAAAGCCCTTTAGAAGCCTAAATCTAATTTTCAACAATGGCTTGTGTTGCCGAGAAACTCGATTTCATTTACGGACTTCCTACTGCTTGATTTACTTGTGCAAATGATACCTGGGTTCCTAAAACACTTAAGTTCGTTTGAAAATAGTAGCCTGCTCTTTGTAATAAGCAGATTTTTACAACCCTGCTACAATGTCCCCAATATATAGTATATGTTGGTATTTTCACAGTAAAGCAAGTCCCAAATACGATGGAATTTTAAAAGATATTTTCTAAAGGTTGTGGTTTTCTCCTCTTGCATATACATTTGGTTTGAAACTGTTTTGTGCCATGCCAGCTCTGGTCCCTTTTTAGTTAGTAAAACATTAAGAGGAATTTAATCCACCGTGACCTAACTTCCTAATCAGACAAGGTAGCAGTGTCGTCACATTTTGAATTATCCTCACTAGTGAGCGTTTTATGCTTTATCAAGTTGACAGTTAGTCCTGCCAGAATGTTCTTTTAAAATCCCTTATCCCAGGAGTCCTGCATATTTATGGCTGGATAAAAAGAAAGATCATTAATAGCTCCTTTTGGTGACTTTCGGGAATTAATTAAGCACTGGTTGTAGAATTGTTTATTACGTTATGGAGTGAGATTCTTTGTGCTAGTTTCAGGGGTCATAAAATGAACCTTCCAAATGATCCCTTGCAAGAATGATTAGAACCAGCTAGCAATTACTAGCCATGAAAGAGCTTGATAGTGGTGTCTGAGGATCTTCTTAATCTGATATATAAACCCCCAATCTAGAGAACCATCTAAGTATTTTGCTAATTCAGAGCCAAAATAAGCTGTTAGGGGTTTTCTCCCCAGTACTTCTTTTTTTAGTGAAGAAAATTCAGGAGCACTTACAGCAGTGTTTAGGGAATACCTGCTCATTAACAAATGCTAATAATGTTCTTTCTCTGGCCTGGGTTGTAGAGGATAAAAACTGACAACAGTTCTGTTCAGTTGAGTTCAATTCCTTAAAAACACTGAGAAACTGCCAATTCCTTTATTCTGGGTCATCTTTTTTTTCCCCTTTATTTTTCCAAAATTTTATTTGCTCAAATGTCATTTCAAAACCGGGCTCGGAACATTATCTAGCTGTTTGCTATTTTCTTGTGTGCGATCCTTTCCCTTGTTAGCTGTATAACTTAGAAATAATAGTAGAGGAGAATAATACTTTGCACTCACTCTCAAACCACTAAAACCATCTCACTTCATTAGGAGCTTTAATTTTAACCACACACGGTGCCTGGGTATTGACTTTGGTGTCCCAGCTGGATGGCAGCTCAGTGGCTGCCTTCTCCTGAGCCGCTGCGTACGGAGCCAGCGTGTTCCTGACTTCCTCTCCTGGCTTCTTGGTTCATGTTGCAGGCACCATCCTAATGGCTCCCTTCAGGTTCCCAGGCTACAGGGCGGTGGTGGCTGCAGTGAAATTATTCCTAGGCATATTGTAACTTAGTAAAGTGTTTTGAGCTTGGAAGCATAAGTCGGACATAAATCAATAATAACCGTAATAATCTTCTCTGCGCTAGAGAGAAATTTAAAGCCAGAGACTCTACCCTGGCCAGTTTTAGGAAGGATGTGAAGCAATGCTGTAGTACTGAGAAGAAAAGCCCCTGTCCTTGGTTAATCATGCCCTGAAGTCAACTATACATCCAGCATGGAAATACTTAAGACTTGTCTTGGCTTTATGTCTTTGAAAACACAACCAAAACGTTCTACGCTAATATACAAAATGCCACAGTTTAAGGCGAACCTTGTACCACATTTTGTACATGCTGTCATGTTGTTACTGTATTAGTGTATTTTTACTCCAGAATCACACTGCTGTAACTCCCTTGGTGCAAACAATCCCTTCAGCATTGGGATGCAGGTCTACCATGCAGATAGGCACCACTTCGCTTGCAGGAGCAGTCCCACTGGAGCTGCTTGTGCAAGGTGCTTGGGTGGCCTTTAGGAACTGCACCACTTAGCCCTTCTGATGGGGGTCACATATATAGCACACAATACAGGTGTAGATGCCTGCATTTGTCCTGGAGAGCTGGTGCAATTTGATGTTATCACCAGAAGTCTGCACCAAAGGAGCAGTCTAGGCCTGGTGTACTGGGCTGCTTTTTCATTAAAAGTGAAAGATCATGGGATAAGTAAGTTTGCCAAGGTGGTCTATACATTATATGTGTTATAGCTCAAGAAATTCATTGTCTGAGTTTATCAACTGACATCTCATGGTGTCAGTGGATATCTTCCACTGAAAATTTCTGTACAAAAAGCCTCAGGAATTTTATAAAAACAGTCTAGGAATTGGGTGGAATTCTGCATGTTTTGCTCCCGCAGATACTCCTTCCACGCCTTGGCAATCTCACAAGTGTGCCTGGGCCTCTGCTTGTGGCTGTGTGTGTGTACACACACTGTTCTAGGAGTTTGCAGCTGGGACGTGGTGTTTCCCCGCCGCAGACTTGCCGTGCTTGGCCGCGTGTGGGTTCCCCTGCAGCCGCCCCGGCAGTCCCGCGCGGGCAGGAGCAGCCCGGGGTGGCTCCGGCTCCGGCTCCGCACGGCCTGGGCTGCTCCATCGCGTGCAGTTCACACACAGGACATCCTTGTGCATGTGGGGTTTTATCTGCGAGTAAAAATGTGTGTGTGTTTGTGTGTATAGAATAGGAGACATCTCCTCTCCAGCTTTTTTCCTGCTTTCCTGGGGACTGGTCGCATTGCAGTGTCACTCAGAGTAGAAAGTGTTTGATCGTTTGATTTCTGGATTCCTGGTTATGGAATTGAATGTTTGTGGAAGTGAATCTTATGGGTGGAACTGCACAGCTTTAACATTCATATCTCTACATCCTTACACAGTTGATGCTGTGTGTGTCACAGCCTGACATTCCTCTAGTTTGTAGTGGATTTAAGTAGAATTCTGCATTCAACTTATCTTGAAACTTTTTCATTTATTAGTCAAAGTGTCTGTGTATATTTCAAAACTCATTCTTTCTTTCCTCAGATCAGTTCTTTACTCCATAAAAAATGAAAGAGAAGACATTTCTTTGTGAGACATTTGAATTTATCCAGCTGAATAGGTGTGGTCTGATATTTTTTACAGTAGTTCGTTTATGACATTTTATTAGGTCTCCCAGGCACTTTATTTGCACATTACATTTTGCTAGCTAACAGGACTGTGCAATTTGACTTCTATTTTTATGCAGAACAAGAACAGAAATGTTTAAAAGTTACAACAAACCTTTCTGTTTCTAACTCCTTTCAATGTCTGTAGTATGCATTAGAAGTTAAAAAATAGAAGTTCTTAAATTTTCTGCTAAGTCTGCTGTGTATTTAAAGACACCTTTGAGCTTGGATTACATATTGAGTGAGGGTATAATTAAGTAATGTAGTTGATCAGACGCACATTATTCAATTCAATCATTCTTTCCTCTTGCTTTGTGTTTTATAAGCGTTTTGAACAGCAGCTCAAGATGAATGGCTATGAGAAAACCCAGACGTCTAGGGTCTGGTTTTATCTGTCTTTGGTGTATCTAAGAAAAAGGTTTGTATCACAACATGGCTTAATTTTGAACATTGCTTTACCTTTTACGTTTGCTCTGACTCAACAGCATTAATAAGCATT